ACAAAAAGATTTCTATTTTAAATAAACGCTGCTCTTTTTTAGCTTTTTAATTGATCAACAAATCCTGAAAAAAAATCACAGATTTAATTAAAACAAAAATGTAAACTGTTTCCAACATTGATAGCTAATACATCAGCATATATTATGATTTCTGGAGGATCATGTGACACTGAAGACTGGAGTAATGATGCTGAAAATTCAGCTTTGATCAATAAATAGGAATAAAAATACATGGAAATATTACCCGATACCACATTATTTTATGACATAGTTGGACTTTTAAATGAAAAGTTTCAAATCTCTGATGAACCAGTCATGCTGATCATGGTCTACGTTTTCTTCACAGCCGATTGACGACGAGAGAGAGAGAGAGAGTGAGAGAAACCCCCAGCGCTGGCTGACCCCGGAGGTCATGGCTTTGTCCGCTCTGTTCCCTCCGCTAACAAAAAAAAACTTCAGAGGGTCACATTCCACCCCACAGACCCCCGGATACTCAGCTGTCGTGAACAAACCCAGGATATTCCCCTCACACACACTCTCAGACTTACCAACACAAAGACTCGCACTGTTGTCCAAGCAAACCTCGAGGAGCGTTACCTTGAGATTGAAAGGGTTAATTCTCCCAAAAATTCTGTCACTCATGCCGTTCCAAACCCGTACGACTTTTGTTCATCTTCAGAACACAAGTGAAGATCTTTTTGATGAAATCTGAGAACTTTCTGTCCCTCCATTGCACAAGTGAGTGACACTTGAAAAAGTTCATCAAGAGATCATAAATAATTCTTGAGCAGTTTAGTCCAAATTTTCTGAAGAGACTCGATCGCTTTATATGATCAACAGATTTCATTTAGGCTTGGCAAATTCATTATTACAGCACTGTAAAAAATATTGTTGTTTGCCTTAAAATTTTAAGTTGATTGAAATGGAAAAAGTGAGTTAATACAATGAAGGAGATTGATTTAATCATCAGAAACTCAAAATAATAAGTTATCTGAACTAAATAAATTATTTAAGTTGATTTGACAAAAGAAAAAATGTTGTGATAACAAATCTTGAAAATATTTTTTTTTTACAGTGAGCCATTATACACTAAAAAATAATTAAATGGAATTGGCAAGAAATACAATTAAATGTGAAGTTTTGAAGTAGGCTTAAATAATATTTTCTTGTATTATTATGGGCTGCGAGAAAGACAATCATATGCACGTTCTTGCGATACTGAATGTCTAAAAAAGAGATATTTGAGATATCAGATGTCTGTTACATTATACCTTGTAATACATATTGGTAATAGGACTGCTCCAATGTGGGTGTTGCTATGGAGTTGTTAGGGTGGTTGCTAGGTTGTCTGTCTTCAGTTTTCTTACGTGTCTTCTGCCCCCTGGTGGATAATTCATGCTCTTCAGGAAGGAAAAAAATATTTAATATAATTGTGAAAATGTCTGCATGTATTGCAGTTTCTGCTGAATATATGCTGATTGTGACCAAGGGATAAAATTTGTATTATTATTTATATTTAAAAATCAACATTTACTTGAACCATGTAAGCCTATTCAGACTTAAATCAAGATACTTTTGCAAATTATATATATAAGAAAAGTTTCTGAAAAATATTTGGATTAAAACAAAATCTTCAGAAAATAAGACTTCCAGCCATTTTGCTCATCAAGTTTATGAATCTTGAATTAAGAATGTTTAAATATTTGTTTATGAAAATGAGACAAAAAATACTTTTTTTTACAGTGTATTTATTACAGAAAGCCACTGAATGTTTGAACTCTGAAAAAAAAGTATGAGAACAACTCATTCACAATTCACTTTTATTTTTAGCTTATTGCCTCAGTACAAATACATAATAAAACATACACGAATATTTGTGCTAATTGCATATTCTTTTAAAATAATCACCGATTCATCATTGAGGATAAAAAGCACATAGCTGTGTGATTCATTAAAACAAATCAATGGTAAAATTCTGATAATTTGATCTATCGTTTTATAGACAGCAAGGCTGCTTTAATAAAAGTTTAGAAATAGTTGACCACTTTGCGGATAGACTGGATGTTGGGATTCTCAGCTTGCCAGTCCATAAACGAGCCGTAGTTTCCTCTATCCACAATGTACATGCGGCCACGATAGTTCGGCTCTTCGTACATGACCCAACTAAACAGTAGAGAGATAGAAAGACTAAATTAAATACATTTACAAATGCTAAACTTGACGGAGTCTTGTTTTTCTGTAAAGCATTCTAAAAAAAGAGACATTTCCTTTAAAACCAAGTTTTCTAAGTTCTAAAAGACATTATCAAAATAAAGTGAGTTTCTCTGCAAGAAAAATTATCTCCTAGTTTTTTTTCTGAACCTACTGGTAGAAAACAATCCTTGTTTTAAGCATAAACTTAAATATAAACATAATAAATAAG